AAAGTTAACGTGGACACCGTAACCTAGTAGTTCGGTTAACAGCCGAAGTTAAAGTATGACTACTGACATAGCTACTCGTAATGACCAAGTTTTTAAGTGCTATAAGCCTTTCATGGCTAAACTAAGAAACGCATGAAAGCTCGTCCGCTACAACTGTCCTCACGTGAGTTTTAACATCATTGCGCACAAGTATATATTGTGTTGGTTAGGCGATAAAAGAGAGTACAGGTCTTCAGAACGCTTAATTTTTCAGAGTGATCAGTTTGAGAGCTAAATAGTGTTATTTACTAGTGTTGTTAGTTATTTTGTCCTTAACAAAACTAGTTAAGATAGTACCCTAGAGTAAGTGGAATAACCCACTAATTTATAATAGGAACAGGGTACGGCAGGCAAGGTAATGTAAGGCAGAACGGTTAGCTAACCAATTATATAGCCAAATACTATAATCGAAGCAATGACTCTTAATTACTAGCTAACGCTTTACTTTAGAGTTAATGTGACCAAAGTTACTTTAATGTTCTTTTCATGATAGCTAGAAACCTTAATTAAGTGCTCTTCCTATGGTCGTTTCAAAATTTAGATCCTTTAATTACCTTAAAAGCTCATTAATAATTTCGAAGGAGAGTTTATAAACAAAAAGTCCTGTCGTACTATACTTTGTTAATGTTGATTCTTACTAACAAGAAAAGAAGCTCTTCTCAGTTGCCTGCAAATTACTCAATTCATGTAGCACTTAAAACAGAAAACAGTTCCTTTTTTTCTAGTCTTCGTGAGTCAGTGGTTGTGGTGAATCCACATCGAGTTCGCGGCTCCTCCTAAGAATAAGGTCTCCAAAGAAAAACGTTAGCTGTTGATCTCTGTCGTAACTTTTTTTGTTGCTTTTTAGACCTTTATTAGTGTTAACAGGTAGTAACACAGAATTTTAAGCTCGAAACTAACTTTTTACTTCTAAACTAGCGAATGTTTACGTGATTAGGGTCTTTGCATGCTCTCTAAGAACTAGTCTTGGTCTTCCTGTGTGACTCTCTTACTAGGTGCTCCCCTCTAAAATTCTTTATGAGTAAGCTTTTCGTTTATGCGACTAGGTTCCAGAACCTTCTCTATTATTTTTAAATTTCATAGGCCATCATTTACTCTGCGGATAAGATCGAGAAGGGTCTTTACCTCTTTTAATTTTTGTATTTTTACATAATTACTTATTATTACTTATTAGATGAGCCGGGTGTTGACATCCCATTTCAGGTACTATTCACGCATGACCGATTTTATGAGCAATTATTTTTCTACTTTTATAATTACAAGGCATCCTGCCGAGTACACCCCATCTAGATTGATAAAGCTCCTTATCACGGATAAGTATCACTATATATACTTTAAAGGGTTCTCCCGTACCAACTAATTATTTGGTAAAAAGTGATTGAGACCTGTTTAGTCATGTTTAATGGCTTGAATTATTGAAAATATAATCAAATTTTTATCGCTTTCCTTAACACCTAGCCTTTGTTGGAGGCAGATCACTAAGGTCAAGTTTAGTACAGTTAGATTTTATGTTTTCCTGTTTGATCATTAAAATAGGATAATTTATGCTTTGGTAAAGCGCTCTAGCACTTCCTAATTTTTTTCCACAAAAACTAGATTTATCGGCTGATGTTAACGATTTATAATAGCCAGAATTCTCACATAAAGAAATTTTTAAACTTCGTAATGGTCTCAACTCTTAACTACTACTGTTAACAGTACTTTGAACCTAAAACACTTAAATTATTTAACTTCTACCGATTATTAATAAAGCTGAAATGTTACATTTTCTTAAAACTGTAGCTGTATTTAAGCTGTACTTGCTTTAATCTTAAATCTAGCTAAAATCTGAAAGGGCTTAGTAACTTAATTTACAAATCTAATTTCATTTCTTCTGTCCTTCTGAAAACAAGTAGGGAGGATCATATTGAATAGCATACGTGCTTTACTACACTTTTTATAAATATTAAAAACTATTTTTACCTTTCAAAATTGGTTTAATTATCTCCAGTTATTTTAAGTCTTGCTACAAAGACTAATCCTCATCTATGCCACTGAGGGAAAGATTGGAAGATTAATTAACTTTAGATTATAATTTAGCTTTATTAAGCAAAAGGTAAGTTTCATTCTCTATTCACCCCCCTAAAAGCCTCTTCCAAATTTTTTTCACAATACTTTGCGCTATTGGCGTTAATTCTTGATTTATCTAAACTTATATTTAAGGCAACCAGGCTAAGCAAAACTTTATTTTATTAATTTTACCTGAACCGTTAGGCAAGGAAAGTTCCCTCTTTAATAATTAGTCCATCTCTTGTAATTTATTATTAATCTCTTACCAGGATAGTTCGATTCAGAGGTATGTTAGTACCATAATTTAAATCTCTTTCTTGTTTCTACGACCGTTTTTTATATAGCCCTAAAATTTATCTACTTAAGGTTCTATATAAATAATGATGAAAGCTTTCTTCTTTTTCATAGTGAAACTACAAAAATGTTTATTAATTTTTTTCTACTAAAGTTGAACGGAAAAAAAAAACAAAGAGATGTAAGATTTCTCTTTTTCACATTTGATCATTTTTAAACTTACCTTTAAAATGTTAGTGCTGGGTGGTTAATTCGGAATGACTGCAGAGCTGGTAAAGAGAAATCTTACATCTCTCTAATTTTTTTTGTTTTACTCTAGTAGAACTAACTAATTAATAGATCTCAAGTGTTAATTAGTTTCTTCTGGCTCTATTAACAACAAACCTATAAAATCTCGGAGGATAAAGGAATCGAGTGAAAATTTTGTAGAGCTCAATGTTTCAACTAAAAAAAAATTTTTACTTTTAAAGTATAGAAGTTTTTTACTAAGGATGAGAGCAGTATACGGGACTATGTTGTTGGATAAATTAAATTTCTTGAAACTTAAGTTACAACCTTAACTATATAATATTTAAGTTTACCAGTCCTTCTCAGTGTGAAAACATTAAATTCTAAAAGCAAGTTTAATTTTATTATAGGCACTATTCAGTATATAAAAGGGACAATTCTGTACTTTACTAACGTTCTATACTTAATCCAATCATCCTTGTATTTTTCTAAACATTTGGCATCGTCACGTCTTTCCCGATGTAGTAGGAGAAGCGCAAAGTAAAGTATGTAAAAGTACGGCACAGCGTGATCAAATCCTATTGAAAGCAATCAGAAAAACTGGTGGGCTTGTGCAAGAAAATAAAGGACAAAGGTACTCTTATAATAATAATATGAGCAGTTTTTTACCGCAAGGCAAGCACCAAGTTAAGCCTATAAGTAAATCGCCAAAGTAGTTGATGTGACGGGCGTTACCCCACCATCCGTCAATCAATAAATTTGTTCCTCTTGACGTCTTAAGATACTTAAGATCTACCGAGACTTTATTAGTTTCGTGTATAGCACCAGTGAATAGAAGTACACTAACGTCGGACAGAAGGATGGGAAGGCTCCTTTCTGAAAAGATTTTTCTGTGAATTAGAACATCGGAATATATAGAACCCGATGATGTTTACAACCACAATAACTAAAAGTTTCGGTAGACTTGCGAATTAAGAAAAAGGGGAAGAAAGTGGAAAACCAACAAAAACAAAAGGGGAGACTCAGATTCTTAGGATGATCCACCAAGTAGCGTGCTTGCAGGGAATATACAAAAGGGACCTATGAAAGATAATCACTTACTAATGAATAAACGGCCTCAAGGAAGGTCGGCTACCCACACGAGGTCACCAAAAGCCAACATAAAGCCAAAGCCCTCCTTCGTGATGTCCATGGTGGTCAACACAGATTCCTATTGGCCCCACCATAAAGTTCCACAAAAAAGTCAAAAGAAGTCAAATGGAGGGAAAAACCTCTGCTATAAGACTGTCGGCAACATAACACAGCTGGAAGGCTGTGACAAGCAGCAGCGAGTTGGTGACGTATCCTAGTGAACGCCGCTGTTTCGCAAGCATCGCCAAGTCAATAAGGCACCACCCGATTAGGCCAGGTCGGAGCTGCAGAGAAGTAGAGAAGCGCTAAGATAGAGAAAAATAAAATTTTAGTACCTCGAAAAAGAATTTTAAATCAAAAGTTTCCCCAAGCCGAGGGTTTAATTCGCGGCCCATAAAAAAGTCAAGGACTGAAGAATCATTAGTTATATAATTCATAAATTTAGAAAGGATTAAGTACTTTGACCTGGTTGACCCTGGCTGCATAATATCTTTTGTTTCTCGTTCAAAAATGAATTCACATAAAGATAAACGGAAAGTACGAAAGATACGAGCATAGAGCCTATATATGGAAAAGGAATAGTAAAAATATAGATATTTAAAAAAAAAAAATTTCGCTTTAAATCCACCAGTGGCCAACTGGATGTAAGAATTATATATATAGTCCACGGAGATCCAGCCAAAGTGATGACCCACCAAGAAGATAAAGACACTAATAAAAAAGCAGCACAAACCTTAAAGGTAATAAAAGGTTTGTTCGCAAAAAGAAAGTTTTTTAGTCCAGTCGTAGCTCACCGTTTAGTCGATAGGGCAGCTTCTTTCCATTAGAAAGGGTGGTGCCCAAGGCGACCCTCGCCGGTGTATAAAGGTGTATAACCGCCTTAAAAGTTTTTAATGTTATAAGATCTGTAAAGTTTGAAGAGGAGGTAACTTGGAAAAGAATCCATAGAATAATGACAGCGGTGGCCTTGAAAGAAATGAAACGTTCGGCTTTCAAGTGCTCCAATATAAAAGAAAAATTCAAAAGGGAGCAGGACTCTTGCACACACTATATATATGTAGGTAGATTGTCGTTGTGAAGTCAATAACACTTTTAACGAATGTTTTAACAATGTCAAAAGTAAACTAAACAAATGTCGAAGAGAGTAAACTTAACTGAAAAGTATAAGAAGAACAAAGTTATGGGAAGTAAAACTATTAGCCCAAGAGCTCCGAGCGGTCCCCCAAATTCACAGTTCATTTTAAAACTTAAAAGCACAAAAACTATTAAAAAAAAGTCAGCATTACAAAATACCAATAACGGGCAACGATCAATCACTAATGTTTGCCTCCAATTTTAAGGTTTTTTCCGTAGTAAGTTTGATGGAGTGTATGCAAAGAGTATTCAGTAGCAACCATGTGGCTATTAAAACCATTGATGGTAAGAAATAAGTTCAGTGCTTAATAATACCTCTTTAAAATTAATTATTTAATAGTACTACAAAAAAGATTGCCTACTAATAATCTAATTTTTCTTTCTCATTATGGTTAAGTTAATCCATGATTGGAAGAACATCCTGGTAGAGCCAAAAAAAAAAAATAACAGGATCTAGCTTAAAAAAATCAGAGCAATATACTTTAAATAAACAGTACTTTAACTATGGTTTTCATTTCTAGAGTCAAAAAAGATTTAATAGCATCTTATTATCTTCGCTTCTGTTAATATACTGCGTAAAACAGCTGCTTTGATATACTACACAATTTATTTTTATAGTTTTTCAAATGTTAATCAGTCAATATATATTTGTGCAATTTAGTGAATGAACACTAATTTTGTGATACTTAAGCTTGAAAGCATTTAAATAGAGGCGTATCCATTCTGACTCTCAATTTTTCAAATTTTTTTTTACTAACAATGGAGAGTTTGTTTACAATTAATTAATTAATACGTGAAGCCTATTAAAAAGGCGTTGCAGTTTTTGATATATATCTATCAGTAATATTGCAAATTTTATATTTATAGGATTTATAGCAAGTTAACTTTAAAAATGGGGCTTTTAGAGAAATTTTATAAAAATTTTATATATCTTTCGTTTATAGTTAACGAAAGGGATAATTAAAATATAAATACATAACGTAGGCCTTAGTTTAAAGTATTGAGGCAAGAAAGATGTTTAGAGGTAAAGTCGCTTTTATTAAAATCAGTTCATAAGTCGTGATGAAAGTAAAAGTTTATAGATTATCGGATTAATGCCTTTCTCCCAGTTACCCCTTTATATGGCACTACCATAGTTAAATAATTGAAAATATAGAGAAGTTATTGAATTTGGAGGTGATACTATTATACTAAAGTTATACCAAGCAAACAGTTCCATGTACCTGAAAACCTCCAAAGGTTATAGAGTACTAAGGTTGACTTGCCAACTGCTGACAAGAGGCCAGTATTAGTTCGGCGTGGATTTTGGCCGCGGTGTCTTTAGGAGCATCTTAACCGTCTTCCATCGAAACGGGTAAGCCGAGAACACCATCGTATTGAGGAGTGCCGCCTATCAATTGCAATCATTCGGCATTTATTTGGGGCTTCACCAGCTTTAATAAGCTCCTTGACCTCGGCTGTGGTGGTTGACTGCCCTTCGTCCTGAGGGAGGAAGTTCGACTCAGACAGCATTTTAACTGCAACTAAAAAAGCAGGGGCGCACACTTAGCAGCGAGGTGCTCAGTCAAAGTGTCGCTTCATCTACCACATCTTCTGAAAAAATACTCTGTCTCGTAGAAGAGGTAACGGCAAACTCGTCCGGTTTCTGAATTTATTAACAAAATTGCCAGAAAGAGACGCAACATTATGGTCAACCTTCAATGTGTGTCTCAAGTCTTTTCTTTTGCACCGATGAAGTCAACTTAACACTTATTGTCAACCCTTATATACTCATTATAAAGTGCAAAAACAAACTTCTAGAAGCAATCATAATTGGCAAGTTTGTGTTAATATTATAAACTGGGGTTCTTTCCTTATCGAGGAGCGCTATCAAGTTTTATCTTTCCTCAATAGCTATATTAGAGAATTATAAAGGTTAGCGACAAGGTTTGTTTAGTCTTAATAATTTCATGTTACTATCGTAATTTTTACTATTAGCTTATAATATGGTCTCTTTTAGTTTTCCTCAAACTTCTTTAATAGTCCCTAACATTAAATATTTTTTACTACTTACTCTAATAACTTCTTTTCAAATGGAAAAAAAAAAAGTTTTAGTTTTTGAGTGGCCAAGATGCGTACAGAAGGTTAATTTCCTCTAGTAGTAACCTTTTTATGCACTAGGGATAGCGTAGCGTTATAATATAGTAAGCTTAAGGTTAAGGTCTGGGTGGTAGACTGTATAATATCTCAATTAATTTTCTACGACCCTTGCATAAATTTGTTGTCGCATTCCTTTTTTTAAAGGAATTTATCCAATTAATCTGTTTGACAAAGGCCATTAAGTGGACATTGTTACTTTTCCAGATGGTCAAAATATCACCCATTTTTGTTCAACCCTTAAATGCATACTGTATCTAATTAATTCACCTATTTGGGATTAGTAGAGCATCCTAGTAGTAGTTTTAAAAACTAAAGCGTGTATCGTATGTAACATTAAATATGATAGAGTACGCATTTAAAAAAAAAAAAATTAAACCTTCCCTACTCGTACTTTTAAAGTTAAACTATAGGTCCTGCAGCTAGTATGCTATGTAAGAGAAAGGAAAATAATATATTCATTGCTCCCGCCGCCACCCTATCACAGTTGTAGGAGAGTGAAGAGCGAAGTTATCTACACACATATATAAACTAACTAAAAGCGACGCCTCGCAAGGTATAGATAATCTAAGTAATTTGTAAGGCTAATTAGATGTTTAATTGGCAACTTGACTTAAATTATAAGTGTTTGCCCAACCTTAAAAATAATAGAACATTAGTGGTGCAAAAATATATGAATGAAATTACTGGTTAACTAGTACCCAATTAAATTAGTTTCATTAAAGTAAAGCTCGGAGGAAAAAATTTGAAAAGGGCTGATAAGTAGTAAAACATGATGCATTTCACGAATTTAAGTTATGATAAATAATGAGTGACTTGAAGTGAGTTGCCGAATTTCCTATACCATCATTTTTATTGTTAGAATATATCGTCAAAATTATTAATTAATACAGGGTTAAACCATAAAAACAATATATTATTGAAAAAAATGTTTGAAATGGCTATTATTAAAGTACTCAGTTGTATGCCACACGTTTTCATTGGGACGCTATAAAGCTTCAATAGCTCGAGAGCAAATAATACTGTTTTTTAAAACAATGCTATCTAGCATAGGTTTAAGACCTTCTAATTTTTATTTATGAAAAAGTAAAGTTTTTAACTAGAGGCTTAAGTTTGCTGTAACTATCTGGCAAAACAGACCATAGGGTTATTATAATATGCTAATAAAGGTTTAAGAGCAAAGACTATTTTGTTTCATGCCTTCCTTATTTAATTTTCCAATATCTCAACTAGATACTAACTTGTTATTCTTAGTAGGTTTAGTAATGAAGTTTTGTCTTAATACGTTCTTGTAATATGAAAAGTTTAATTGTTCAGGATCCATGATTTACATTGCGACTGACATAGGAGTAGATACTTAATTATAATTCGTTAGTAGGAACTTAAGGTATATACATCCGTATGTTTGTTTATATACGATTAAAAATAGGGTTTGGGGTAATATTGATTTATTACGAGCTAAAAAGAATTCTATGTCATTATAAGGTGTAGGAGGTCTGTATGCTTGAGTACATAAGTTTTGATTCTTTTTTTGAAAGTATTTTTGCCTCCTATATTAACTTTTAACCTTAAATGTCCAAAAAGATCTTATAAAATATGATGAAACTCTATATTAATTATATATATTCTACCAACTTCCAGTAACTTCTCACTCCAATAAACACTTTTCTTTAATTAGATCCTCTATACTTATAGCCCAGTGGGATGAAGTCTTCTTTTAGTGCCATTTAATTATATCTAATTGCATAACGCGCATTCCAGATCCCCATCCTATTTGATAATCCTTCCTAATAGGATATTTATTCTTTTACAGGTGCGCCACAAAGCTAAACTGTTCCTTTCCCCTTTAAAACTTTCTTTTACTCTTTGTAAATTATGACCGATCCTCTTTATCTTATTCCTCTCTATTTGTAGACTTTTTTCTCTTAACAGTAAGTTATTAATACCTCTGGGAAGCATACGTTTTAAGATATTTTCGCTGCTGCTTTTTTACGTTATTTAGTCTGGGAAGGCTTCCAGGTTACGCTACACTTTCACTTCTCGTCATAGAAATAATGTAAGAAGCGTTAGTTAAAGCACGAGTACATATCTTTTAAATTTCGCACTTACAAACCCAAGTTATATTACTTTTTTGAAATCAGTATGAAGGTTAAGTTTGCTGCAAAAGATAATACATTTTTTAGCTCTAGTGCTTTAAATGCTATAGCAAACAAAAAAGTTCGTGACCAGCCCCCTTAAGTAAATTATAGTGATGCTTAATATAACATCCGCCACAAAAAAATTCGTCTTACTTGTCTCTAAGCTCACTCTCTCAAAGCTTCTACTTTCCTGTAGCCTTTTTCTATCTAGCTCTTGAAAATTGTAAGTGAAGGGCTGAGGGGATAATCCTTCGCGGAGTACCTTATTAAAACTAAGAAATAAGAAAAAAAATTCTTCTTAACTGACTATTTTCCTGAAAACAGAACTTGTTTATGAAGTCATTTTAATTTCTAATAAACACATCGCCTTCTTTAACGGGTCCTCGGTGTAATTAAAATGCAGTTTACGCATTCTGCTTTTTATTTTTTAAAACCAAATAAGTTTTGAAAATGATTTTACACACCCTAGCAAGCTTGCGCATCCTTCGAGAGGTGCTTTAGTCGTACCTAAACGAATGGGTCTACAGCGTGGGTATGAGCTCTGTACTATTGATACTTCACCATCTTCCAGCTGGTGGTCTTGCAAGGACTTTTAGCATCGCTGAACGCGACATGTCTCTACCAGTTAACCCTCATCTTCGTGTCACTTTTTATACTGCTGATAAGAGGATCTCTCGTCGTCAAAGTCACCCATTTTACTTTCGACATCTACAGATACAACACGATGCGCTCGCTAGTTAATATCCTTATTGAAGGCTCTCGATTAATGCAGCAAAAAGTAAGGCGCTCTTGGTACCAAAGAAATACACTGTGCTGCCGGTACAGTTGACCAACCGCATGGAAATCCCGTTGTGCCCCCAG